AATGAACAACGTAATAAAATCTTTGGGAACATAAAGTTTGTTGTTATAATGCACAATATGTTATACAAACTCTGGTTGTTTTGCTTAAAACATAAAGTTTGTAGTTACAATGCACAATAAAAGATTTGGCTGTTTTACTGGAAACCTAATACTTGTTGTGAGAATGGAAAACATGATAAACTTTTTGGTTGTTTTACCAGAAACCTAACGTTTGTTATCTGAACTACATTGCATATTAAATGAATGTACGGTGCTTAAACGTACGTATGTATATATATATATATATAATTTTTTTGGGATGAGGGAGGGAGTGAAGCTTGAGATGTGTAATGCACGCAACTTCATATTAGACCACCTCTATAGTCACCTATCGTGCACGTGGTTTTATTATAATACATGGAAATGAAACCAACGAATCGCACGTTTTCTTGCTTTTCAGGTCTCCCAAAACCACTTTATTTGTATCAAATAAAGCTTGACTATTATAACCATCCTATCCTGACCATCCTACTAATTACATCTACCGCTTAATCTCCTATGAGGAGTTTACATTTAGGCCTATGAAGAATGGAATGCGTTATAACCTGTTCACTAATGAAAGGCTTAACAAAGGAAGGCCATGTCTGACAAAGAAAAACGTGATGTTATTGTAATCCAAGTCATTGTCAATATGTAGGAATATTATATTTATATAGTTTCCTGTGGTGCATGGACTAATTTTGATCGTGAAATGTTATAAAATAGCCAATTTTTTATCAAAGATTATTAGGGACGAATTCAATGCAGAGACTATTACCATAAGTGCCTGAAAGTGTCAAGCTAACCAGTAATCTCAGACAATTAAAAATAAAGAAACTATGCTATGATCTTGGAGTTTTTAGAGCCCTAACCACAACAGAAAGCTGTCTTACCGACTGTAATCTCATAAGGAAACAGAAAAACAACATCTGAACATATTCTGCAAAATTTGTTTGTTTGTAATTAAGCACAAAGCTACACAATGGGATATCTGTGCTCTGCCCACCATGGGTATCGAAACCCGGATTCTAGCGTTGTAAGTCCGTAGACATATCGCTGTACCATCGGGGGGCATTATGCAAAAATGGGATATTTTTAAATGGGTATTTGATCTCTTTGACGCTGTAAGAAAATTAACAAGAGGATAACAACATAATTTATTGATTCAGGTAATTTAGTGATTCTAAGATCACAAAATCACTTTAAAGTCAGGTCGAATTTTGTACATAAAGAATTAGTTTAAACAGCTTATAGAGTAAGCCTTTTCAACTTTATTCTATTTCACAAAATCATTGTAGTTAAAGCTTTAATAATATGTAATTGTGTTTATCGTAAACTAAATGATTTGGAACGACATAAAATAATAATAGTGTGTCATCATAATTCGGGGTTATGAACTTTTACTTGTCGTCTTTGTTACACATTTAAAAGGCAATTAAAATAATTTCTAAAGTCCCTTGCTGTTCTGAGGATTTTAAAAGGGGAAACATGGTTAATTAAAATAAAAGAAAACACGACTATCAATTCATTTTTCAATGCAGTTCTAAATTTCAACAAGAATATGATTGAAAGAGAGCTACCATAAGGACGTTAACCTATCTCTGAAATACTCCGACATAGCATAACACAAGGTTAACAAGAAATCTTTTCGGACTCCTTATAATTAAAAGTGTTGAGGAAAACCATTAAGTCTGCTCAGTATTACATTTGTCTCTGAAGTAGTTTCTGTGTATGTACAACTAATGTTTAATTAAAACATTAAACTTGTATGTCCATCAAAAAATATTAAAATATGTTACAAATAATAGATACGGTTTTAAATACCGTTGATATGAATTAATTTATAAAGATAGTTCCATTGAATATACAACAACTGTGTTATAAACATTTTATCGTCGCTAATACGAACTAAGCTTTTCAACATGATTTATTTTAGTTACCACATTTGCATTAAATATTTTAATAGTTTCATTAACATGCTTTGGTTAAATCTGTATTTTTATGATCAAAACACAATAACTTTTAGTTCAAAACATTAAAAGTCACTTATAACGGTTTTCTTAATGGTGTATTTGTCTTTTTTTGTTTTGTTTTAGAGTAAAGCCACCACACTGGGCTATCTGCTGTGTCCACCGCGGGTAATCGAACCCCGGAGTTTAGCGTTGTAAGTCCGTAGAGTTACCACTGTCCCACCAGGGGACGTTTACTAATGTTTCTTAAATCGTTCCAGACATCACTAACGAAACTCGAACTTAAAGACTTCTTTTTTCCTATTTCTATATCACCAGAATTTCAAAAGTCGTAGAAAAGTAAAACGTGAAATGCGTCGTAAAAACTGCGAAGAAAACGTTACCAGTAACTTGAATGTTGTTGTTGTTAAAATCATAAATAATATTCAACGTTAAACTGGTACACAATTACAAACATTTTACTTAGGCCTATCTATGGCCTTCAAAAAGTTGACGACTCTACATATTTCGACGTTTATGATTTTAACAACAACAACATTCAAGTTACTGGTAACGTTTTCTTCGCAGTTTTTACGACGCATTTCACGTTTT